ACCCAGGGACACATGCCTGTTGTGTTGCCCTGACTTCTCTGAACACCAGGTCTGTACAAAGGGATAATCACACCTACCTTGCAGGATTGCGGGAAGCATTAGAGATAATAGAGGACAGTGCCTGGCACCGAGTAGGCCGGCTCCCCACCTTTGGGTGCCCCAAAGTGGGGAGACAGCTGGAATGGGGAAAACACTGGAGTTAGAACCACCGTGGCCTCTTTTTGTAACACCCCAAACTGGAAACAGCCTGTCAACGGGGACATTATCTGCAAGAATTGTGGCTCTTGTCTTTAAAGAATATCAGGCAGCTGTTAAAAGAATGGCCCAATCTCTCTCTAGAAAAAAACAAAAGACAAACAAACAAAAGACTGGAGGAATGTCCGTAGAAAATCACTCATCGCAGAAAGCAACGTGCTGTATTATATGTAATATGACATCATCTGCGTAAAATCGAAAGAAAAAACAAGTCCATTCAGCAGGGTACGGGTTTGTCAGTTTCCACGAATAAGCAGGGCGAAGGCCACACCCCAGAACGCCAGCAAATCTTATGTCAGTGGGTTAGGACGCCAAGGAACTCAGGTTCCCTGAAGTCCCCGATGACAAGATCATTAACCTTTGCAATGCTCTCTATATTGTTTGATAAATTATATTAAGCAGGTTGTGTTTTTATAATTACATAATCTAAAGACAAAGAAAGCCAAAGCCTGAACCTGATTTCCAGATCTGCATCTCATGACCTAATAGGTTTTTCAACTTCTCCGAACCTCACCCACAGTTTATAAAGAGGCAACAAGCATCCTCCTCCCAAAGTTTTGAAATTTAAGTATGTTCACTCATTAACTCATCTGCCAAACGTCTCTTGAGAGCTCTCTACTTCCAGGCACTGGAAGGGGCTTCGGCAGTGAGCCTGGTTTAAGGACTGTAGTCTTCCAACTGATGACGTGCGGCATGGGTGTTTGTGTGCCCAGCACACCAGTGAGTGACCAATGATGACATCTCCTGGCTTGTGGGAAGAGGAGGATCGGGGGAAGACTTGGGGGTAGTGAGACATTGTGTCTTTACCCTCGACCTCACGGGGAGCCCTCTGCTCACACAGAGAGGAATCGGACGCAGTTTGGGGCTCCCTGTTCTCTGCCTTCTACAATAGCCACCTTCTACCGGGGTTGTGTTTCAGATCCGAAGTCCAGGAAGAGAAAGGCAGTTAACTGCTTCACGGTCATGGTGGCCATCTACCTGGTTCTCCTCACCGCAGGTGCCGGGCTGCTGGTGGTAAAAGGTAAAGAGATCTGGTGCTGTCTGGTGCTTCCTGGGCTGACAAAGGGCTCAGGTTTGAGCAAAGAGCCCTGGGGTCACCTGTGGAGAGAGAGTTCTTAGTCCCTGGGCAGCTACATTGATGGAGGGGGTGGGGAGTGGCCAGGAAGGAGTGTGTGTGTGTGTGTGTGTGTGTGTGTGTGTATGAGAGAAAGAGACAGACACAGAGACAGATTGAGAGAGAGACAGAGAGAGAAAGCACATGTGAACCTGTGTGTGTCTAGAACGGTGAACAGTGCGATAACTTCACCCAGGATGTCATGTGCGTCTTTCATCAAGGATCCCAGCGTCTGGGTGTGAAAGGGCTCTATTGAGCGGATTGTTCATTTTATTTTTATTATTTTTTAAATTTTTTAAATG